CTGGACAATCCCCCCCCCCCATAGCTAGCAATCAAAAACAGTCCAGTGGAGCCTGAGCGGTGGGTGTTGCCTTCTGACACACTTCCGGTGATGTCAGGGGGCGTGGCATATGCAAATAAGTTATGCTAATAAGTTATGCTAATGAGCTCCTGCACCTCTTTTTCTACGAAATGACCCCTGGATGTAGTGATGGCCACAGGAATAAACAGCTTTCAAAAGGGATTAGATTCATGGAGGATAAGTCTATCAATGGCCACTAGCCATGGTGACTGAGGGGATCCTCCACATTCAGAGGCACTAAACCTCTGTATCCCAGAGCCAGGAGGCAACATCGGGGGAAGGCCTCAGCCCCTCTGCCCTCCAGAGGAGCTGGTTGGCCACTGTGTGAGACAGGACGCTGGATGAGACGGACCACTGGTCTGATCCAGCAGGGCTCTTCTGATGTTCTTATCTCTCCCTGGGTGTTTCTCAGAAGCTCAAGCGATTCACGCCAACAGCTTTTTGCTCTTTACCCGGATGCGCAAAGCAGCTCTTCCAGGGGTGAACATGCAATGCAGTGATTAAATCAATACAATGCAAGAGGGCCGACTGATCTCACAATAACATTGCTTCTCGAAAGGCATGTGCCCAAGCACTAGACCAGTGCTCCATATGCAAACCCACAACCGGCACAGCTAGCTACGTGCAACACTTTCGTACAAAGACAGGAGAGGAAAAACTCTTGTCAGTAGACTGCACTTCAGCAGAGCTGCTGAGCGTGCAGACTGCATACGAAGCAGGCAAAACTAGGTTATGACTTTATTAACAGATTTCCACAGAATTAAAAGTTCTCCATGCTATCAACTGGCTGGAACTACACCAACAACATTTTTATTGGGCTAAATCTCTTATATTCTCACTATACCGTGCTGTTTTGATTTCTTCTTTTTCTTTTTCTTCTTCTTTTGTTTTGACTTATGGTCCTTCTCCTTTCTCTCTTTTCTTTCTTTATCTTTCTCTTTCTTTTTACCTAAATTGCAATCAGCAAGGAGGTTTGTTTAAACAAAGGATATTTATTCCCCATTCTTTTTCTTTTTTTAAAATAGGCACTTTTCTCAAAATTAGGTTGACAACTTCCAGTCACCTGCCTAAAAGTGAAACAAGCGCAGTTAAATAATTAGCTAACAGCTTTGCTCCTTAAATAACCCAGAGATGGGGCAGGGAGAGCTCGTCTTGGAAACACTGAACAAAGCCGATCAGATTTACAAAAAATGTACAAGGACAATGTAGCCCTAATGACAAGAATCAATTCAGAATTGCAATCAAAGCCTATTGTTAAAATAGAGAACTGTTAATGCTAGGCAGATTCACTTTCCAGTTTCCCCATAAAGTCCCTAACACCACCAGCGGAGAAAGTTTGGGCATTCTTACTTAACAGGTATACACTGAGGCAAAAGCTAGATTTATCTAGTCTAGACTGAGTTCTTTTAGTTCCTTAGATTTTCATTGTATTTCAGAGGTAACAAGATGCATAAAGACTGGATAATCAACAGATGTGGACTGTTATGCACAATCATACTTATTAGCACTGAACTCTATTCAACCCACCATTTGTTCTACAATACAGTTTCCCCCCAACTATTTCTAAGAAGTGACAGATTGGGGGTCCCCAACGTGGTGCCCGTGGGCGCCATGGGACCCACGGACAACTTTACTGGAGCTCGCCATATACTTTTCGTAAGTGGGTGGGGCAAGGCTTCTGATTGGCCACTGATTCCCAGCAAGGCTTCTGATTGGCCACTGGAGATCTGATTGGCTTCGCAGATTTTTAAGAAGTGTTGCTTTGGCAGCAGCTGCCAACCACAGTGTTAGGATCTTCACTGTGTGACGGAAGGTAAGCTGTGGCAGCCATTCTGTGGCTGGCTCCACCTCCTGCAGTATCCATTTTGTGGCTGTGACCACTAGGGTTGCCATCCCCCCTAATGGAGGAGGGGGGTCCCCCGCGTTCGGGGACCCCAACCCAACGGTGGCCAGTTGGCCGGCAGGGGGAGCCTTACCCATGAAAAGCCCCCTCCCTCCCGACATGATGACGTCATTGCGCTGGCAACGTCGCATGGGGACTCTCTAGCATTTGGGCAAAAAAACCCTCTATGGTGACCATAGAGTTTTTTGCTCAAACACTAGAGGGTCCCCTGCTCAATGTGCCCAAAGACTCCTGGACCAAGACTGGAGCCCCCCGCCAGCAGCAAGGTCAGACCTGGCAACCCTAGCGCCCACTATGTTCTGTCAGAATTCTAATGGTGCCCACAGGCTCTAAAAGGTTGGGGACCCCGTGATAGGTTATGTAAGACAGTACAGAAAGCTTGTTTCACCTCCTGCTTCATACTCTCACAGTGCAACCCTATATAGAGTTACTCCAGTCTAAGCTCACTGATTCCAGTGCGCTCAGACGGGAGTCAACTCTACATGAAGACTGCACAGTCAACACTCCATAAGCACTAACAGTGAAATCTGTGAATCTGACCACACACCCACACTCTGATCACACCAACATTAGAGTCCTGTGATCAGTGTTCCCTCTAACCTGAGTTAGTGTGAGCTAGCTCACAGTTTTTTAACCTACGGCTCACACATTTCTGTCTTAGCTCAGGAAGGATGGCTCCAGAGCAACCTCATTTATGTAGTGACCAAATCGCTCACTCACAACTTCAATGCCAGTAGCTCACAAAGTAGGATTTTTGCTCACATGACTCCACAGCTTAGAGGGGGCATTGACTGTAATGCATTGGTGACATATCACCAATACTGAAGGAACTGCACTGACAGCCGGAGTGGATAGAGTATCAGACTAGGATCCTAGGAGACCATGGTTCGAATATCCCCATTTCTACCAGGGAAGCTCACTCGGTGACCTTGGGCCCATCAAAAACTCTCAGGCCGGTCTACCTCACAAGGCTGTTGTGAGGAAATTGAGGAGAGAACCATGTTCTAAGCTACTCTGAGTCCCAACTGGGGAGAAAATTGGGATATAAATAAATGCAAACGCACTGCCTGACAGTGAGCTTTCAAGCACTGGCTCTTTTATTTGAAGCCTAAATAACTTAGTGCTTTTAAAAGGACCTCCTCCTCCCATATAAACCAGCATAGCTGTTGAATTTCTCATCAGATCAAGGCCAAACAGCCAGCTAGAGACAGTATTCTCTCTGTGACACTGCCAGGGCTTTGGGATTGCCGCTCTACTTTTCCCTGGCATCTCCACCTCTTGAGTTTCGGGATTAAGGTTAGAAGTCTGCTTGTTGCTTTTACTGATATCATTTGCAACTGCAGTTTCTATCTTCTAAGGGCTGATGGGTGGCGGTTTCAAAACAAGTCATGATGGTTGATCACAGAATCATGGCTTGTCCTGTTTTTACTGTATGGCAAACGTTGTGAGGCAGTTGTTTTAAATCAGCAATGACTAATTCACTGGTACATTTGCACTGGTGGTTTAAAAGATTGCAAATGCTTGAGACTAGATTATCTACGGTATTTTTTTAAAAGATCTTCATCGTATATTCTCAGCTTAATAGGCTCTTCTTAGGGTGGCTTCCGAAATCAAACCTTAACACGACTACAGAAGAGCTTTATTACAAGCCCCAAATAGGAAGGGTGGAAAAAAACCACACCCTTTTCTCCATATAAAATATGCCTTTCAGTACCCTTCCTGAACAGTAAGATGCATGCACGCATAACACCCAGGACACGATGGCTGCAATTCTAAGTGTGGTGACAAAGGAGTAAGCCCCATTTTTCGGAGGGATTTACACCTCTGAGTAAACACATTTGGGACCACGCTAGGGAAATTAGTGGCAAAATTGATGCTAACACCTAGGTCTTCCTTCACTGGCCTTGCATAGCCAAGAAGATACATTGCAAAGACTGAGCAGGGGAGGGCGGGGGTTATACTCCTTTTTGGTCTCTGAGCCATTCTAGCATGTTCACTTAATGGAAGTGGAATGACCACGGAGTTAAGGACCGCTACTCTACTTTTCCTTTGCATGCTGACACACGTCTTTACCTTACAACCAAAGGCACTGGAGTCAACTGCTTCCCTGGTTCTCTCCTGCCACGCGAGCTGCAGAGGAAAGCTGGGATTCTATTGGAGCCACCTACGTTGCTAAGGATACAAACTTTCCATGGAAATTATTGCCCCTTTTTTATGTGTACTGGAAACTTAAACATACACACACACCCCTGTAGTTTCCCTCTGATTTCTATTTATTTAGAACTTGGGGGGGGGGCGCTGTGGATCAGTGGCAGAGCATCTGCTTGGCATGCAGAAGGTCCCATGTCCAATCCCTGGCATCTCCAGTAAAAAGATCCGGCAGTAGGTGAGGTGAAAGACCTCAACCTGAGACCCTTGATAGCTACTGCTAGTCTGGTGAAACAATATTGACTTTGATGGACCAAAGGTCTGATTCAGTAGAAGGCAGTTTCAGGTGTCCGTGTGTGTTCATATCTATGCCACCTCCTTAGAGTTCTGCTTGAGGTGACATTTGTTGTTGTTCAGTCGCACAGTCGAGTCCGACCCTCCGCGACCCCATGGACCAGATCACTCCAGGCCTTCTTCCGCCATCCTCTGAAGTTTGCTCAACTTCATGTTCGTTGCATCTATGACACTGTCTAACCATCTAACCATCTATGACACAATCTAACCAATTGTGACATACACAATTAAAAACACGAGTATAAATGCCAGACATTACACTTTTACAAAAATTTGTGGTCTTGACAGTCACCATAAGGGAATAAAGGCTGGTCCCTGGATGGGCCCACAGTTTAACAAACTGCCATCTTAACACCAGCTCCCCCCCCCCAAAAAAAAACCCCTCATCATATATGATGGAAAATGAACCCAAAAGGGATACTATAATCATTTTCCTGTATTCTTTGTCACTGAGATGAGTAACATTCAGAGTTGCCAGTTAGACTATCTTTGTCCAGAAACACCTTCCTTTAAAGGATGCATTTTTAAATCCAGAAACGGGGAACGGGGGGGATGAAAAAAAATAAAATCCTGGTTATCTTACAACCAGTAAGAACAGATGAACACTTACACCCATGACAGCATTACACAGGCCAAAAGACAGAAGCTGGTTTTGCTCTTGTTCTCTTTAAAACTTTAACCTTTGCTTAAATATTTGTGTCCGTACCAAGCAATGACGTGCATCTCTCCTCCGGTTTTGCTTTCTTCTCGGCTTTCGGTGTCCCTGTGGACGCAAGGAAGGACAAAGAGCCTTAGCAGTTCACAAGTTGCAACGGGGCTCGGAATCCCCCGTTTGCCAGCATTCTGTCGTGGAGGAGAGACCCATCAATGGCTTACCAGTCGTGGTGACTAAAGGAAACCTCCATATGAAGAGGCAGGAAACTTCTGTACGCTAGTGCTGGGAAGGCAACATCAGGGGAAAGCCCTTGGCCACCACGCCCAGGGCTACTGGTTGGGCCACCAGGTGAAAAGGGATGCTAGACTAGGTGGGCCACTTGTCCGATCCAACACTGCTGCTCTTCTGGCCAATTTACTAGCGAAGTGCGCCACTGAAGAAGACTATCTACTGCCCAAAGTCCAAAGCAAAAAGGGGGGGGGGGAGATCACCCATTCAGTTGTCCCACAAAAGCACCACTAGGCAAGTGGAGCTAAGAACAAAGCTTACCCATCATTCAATGTTGGGGGAAATCCCATAGGTACCATAGAGATGCACACACACAGGTAGTTCCCTCCAGCAGTGAAGTAACTATGACCTCCATTCCCCATGTGATGAGTTTTAATGTTGCACACGCACAAGGATTTGCTAAGGCTGGGCCACATGACCTCTCTCTTCCTGAAACCCATGTCCATCCCTCAAGGGTTCTTGTTAGGTTAGCCTATTTTGGAATCCTTGAGTCACAGCAGAAAAAGAATGCATGGCCCTCGTATGGCCAATGAAGCATTTCTGTACAGCTCACAGGCAGTGTTCCCTCTAAGCTGAGTTAGTGTGAGCTAGCTCACAGTTTTTTAGCCTCCAGCTCACACATTTTTGTCTTAGCTAATTTTATGCAGCAGCCAAACTACCTGCTCACAACTTTAATGCCAGTAGCTCACAAAGTAGAATTTCTGCTCACAGGACTCCACAGCTTAGAGGGAACATTGCTCACATGGATCTGCCAGAATGCTCAGGTCCTGCATGGTGCCTCCTTGCATCTTGAATGGTGGAGGCAAAATCCAAAGGGTTTTAAAGGGAACAGGAGAAAACCAGGGAGCTTCAGGTTTCACCCTGGCAGATGACTGGCTGTTAAAGCGCTCAGCTCATCCTGGGCAGATGCATCAAAGTTAGAGACCTTCAGCCTGGGTCGAAGACAGCCTCTGTTGCCAGTGAGCTTGGCAACCTCTACTGGCAGCCCCTTCCCTTTTTGGGGGGGGGGAAGCAAACCAACCAGTATCTTTTCCCCAAGGCAAAGGATCAGTCCCCGCCATGTCAGCCATTCTGAAGTGGTACCCACAGCCCGCTTTCAAAATTCCAGGACTGCCTGCAGACTAAACAAAGACAGGGGCCCTTGGTCTAGGGCAGGGGTGTCAAAGATAAGGTCCGGGGGCTGGATTGAAAACAAATCAGCCAGTATCATAATGCTCCTGTATAAATAAGTGGTGTGGCCTCATATGGAGTACTGTGGCTGCGGTCACACGGGCAGGAAAATGTGAGGGGGGGAGCGTGGCTGTTTGCCCCGGGGCAAAATAACACGCGGTTGTGCGAGCAGACATCCCGTGGAGGTCCTGTGGTAGGGGGGAGGTGCCGATCACACCACAATCCTGCGCCGCGGCAAATGGAAAGGCGGGGGGCGCCGTGGCAAACGGTTGGTTTTTTTCCCTGTACACCGATGTGTGCGCATGCCCCGTTGGCTGCTTGTGCGCATCCCAAGGACACTTGGAGAGAAAAAAACCCTTTTTGCGAGGGGACATGGGTGGGCGCCGGATGCCATGGGATTTCCACCGGAACCGCGATCACGCACCCGCCCTTGCCCCGTGGTTTCCGGAAACTAGTACCTCCGAGGTACTAGTTTTTTACCGCGCATCTTCAGAGTGAAGCCTCGGGTGAGCCACGGGAGCTCTACGCTTCCCAGATGTGGCGGTGAGATCGCGCCCGGAAAATCCACCTATCTTCCATCTCTCTAGCGTGCCTAATGCTCCGTGTGACCGCAAGCCTGTATACAG